GTAGCACAATAGCAAAGTAGCACCCACCATAGCTTAGTACCATAGTAGCTCAGAGGCACATGTAGTACAGTTATTAAGTAGTACAGTAKCACATCTAGTAGTAGCTCAGTAGCACAAAATTGTAGCAGAGTAGGTACTGTGCTACATATGCTACTGAGATACTGTGTACTTTATAAGCTACTGTGCTACATGTGCTACAGTAAAAACCCGCATAAGAACCTACAGGCTGAAATTAAGCATTTTAATACCCATATTTATAAGAACCTATCCTGTCTGGAAAAAGGTTCTTATACAAAAGACAGTGTTGTTTTCATATCCAAAATAAAATGAATATTTTGTTATAAAATTGTGAAAAATTATGCAAAAGTTTATAATATATACAAAAATACAAGACTTGGCATTAATACAATTAAATGCAAACGTATTGATGACATATTAGTATGATGACATATTAGTATTGTCATAGCCCCCATATGTTATAACTATGACTGTGTTTCAAATAAGAACCTAYTAAGAACCTAATCAGCCTGATCTTGGAAAAAGTGCCCCAATATACAGTCATATAAGAAACTATTCAGCCTGAACCCCCAAATCCTAGGTTGCTACACGAAGGCTTTTACTGTACTGTGCTTCTACTACATGTGCTAAAATGATGTTAAGACCATTCCAATCTGTGGTGAGTAATACAAAATTAAATAAATATAAAAGCTTGAAAATAAATGTGTAAAATACCCAGTAAGTAATGAATTTTATTACCTAGTACTGGCATTTTGTATTTTTTGATCATGTGCACAGTACAAAATAATATGTAGTTTCTATCAACCGATGCAAAATATTGCCTTAGGAATATTTATATCTACCAATTTTGGGCATTTGGTGTCCAACATAATAATCAGTATCATAGCAGTCTTACTTCAATGCAATACAAAATGTAACTTTAAACTTATGGCCAATAATAATTGAAAGTGAAAACTATTTTCTTTAAGAAATTTCATCTAAAATCACCATGCCCCAAGAATGTTAAAGCGTGGAAGTCCTAAAGGAGCTGACCTTACTGTTATTGGTTTACCCAACAAAAGGAGAAAAGGTGCAAAAAAAGTAAACGTCCAACTTTATTTTTGGATAAATCACCTACAGAAAAAGCATCTTGTAAGTAAACAGATTTCCTCATACACTATGGTTGTTTTGTATATCCATATTTGAAGTGAAATACTATAAAGTGATTGTAATTTACTTATTTCAGTGTTATATTCATTTTWGACATTCTCAACATGTTGACAACTCCTGAGGCAGTACATAGTGCACTAGATGATGCCAAACTTATAAGTGAAGAAGACCTTAAAGGAGATATTGATAGAATACCTAGAAAAATTGTAGACAACACCATAAATGTATACCGTGTGAAAAAATACTTCACAAACCGAGCATGGAAAAGGATTCTTACACTGCTAAAAAAGATTGAGAAAGAAAAAACTTGGGATTGCCACACTTGTGAAAGAGAGTTTGAAGAYAGTGATATTGCCKTAGGTTGTGATGTGTGCTTAGAATGGTACCATTTTAAATGTATAGGAAYAGCAGCTCCCCCTAAAGCAAAGACCTGGATTTGCCGTAAATGTTTGACTACAGTTTAATGATATTACAAATCTATACTGTATGGTTTTAAACACTTTATGGATTGTTCTGTCAGGTTTTTTGTAGCTGTAGATAATAGTTTTTGCCTTTTTATCTTTCTCTGTTATCAAGGGGTCTCCCTAGTCAAAATCATGTAATATTGTATAAATCTTTAATACATCACCAAGAACAAGAACAATAGGATAAGGATCATGACATCATAAAAAGGACGATGACATCCTCAATCCCTAAATTAATGCTCTAAAATCTAAAATTTCATTTTTGGCAAAATTAGTAACTTGATTGGCCAGTTCTGAAACATATTGATAAATTAAAAGTTTTACGTCATTCCATACTTTCATTGACTTTCATAGGAGTAGCGCGCTTTAAAGATGTCTTATATTGTTATAAATACTGCAGTTATTGATAATTTGGCAGAATAATGCAGCAAAATAATGAAGATAATACATATAGGTATGATTTATTGATTGGTTAAAAGAGAACATTTATAGGCCATATTTCTAAGGATAGCATAAGTGTTTTGATGATTATTTTCATTGCCACAGGTGACACAGCAGTAGGAGGCAGTGATGACATCAACGTTATAAACTTTACTTCCAGGAGCATTATAGTTTTGTGTTATTAACATTTCAGTTTTGTGTATTGTTCTGGGCACAGTTGTCCAAAGCCTGATTAA